AAATTACATATCAAAAATTTTTTAAAAAATTATAATAAATAAAACTAGTATTAAGATATAATATATATGAATTTTATTATTTTTGATTGTATAATTAAGGATTTAAAAATTGCCAAAATTGAAATTTATAATAAAAATATAGTAAATGGACTCAAACTTTTGGAAGCAACTGTATATCAAAATAGAAAATAATTATAAAAAAAAAAGATTTTATAAAAACTCATAAAAGATAATTAAAAAAGAAAAACTAGTCTCTTTGAATATAAATAATTGAATTAATTCAAAAGAAAGTATAGATTTAAAGCTTGCTAAAATTAAGGTACATACCAATGATTCTTATAATAAAGAAACAAATGTTTAACCAAAAAAGATCTAAACTTTTCTGATTGAATAAAAAAAATTTATCTTACATAAGATTAAAGTGGCAGAATATAATTGTAATAATTTAATAAGACAGTTTATTAAAAATATTAATAATAAAACAATTATCTATTAGTAAAAATAATAAAATAAAATAAAGAGTAAATAGTATTATTAAATTTTAAATCAATAAGTTCATATATAGGATCTAATATAAGAAAAGATAAAAGATAAATATACCATACATAAAATATAGTATATCTTTCAAATAATCTCAATAATGAATTTTCAAACTTAAAAAAACTAGCTATTAGAAGACCTGACCTATATAAGTAAATAAAATATATTGCATATAGTTATATAAATAATAAAACACTTGCTAGAATATTTAATTTATATGAATCAAGTATAAGAAGTATAGAAGAAAGAAATAAATGAAATTCTCAGAAACTTTAAAGAATTCTTACAAGAAAGAAAAAAAAAAGTCAAAGAGAAAAATATTAAGTTAAAAAAAATTAAGAAAACTAGATAAATAAATCTTTAGACTAGTAAACCAAACTTTAAAAACTAATCAAAAACCTTAAGCTTCTATGCTAATCTTATAAAAAGTAATCTTATTAAAAAAATAGTAGATCTAAAATATTATAGAAAACAGATAAAAAAAAAGTAAGAAAATAAATATTAAAAATATAGAAAAGAGTTTATAATCAAATCTAAAAAAGAAATTGAAATATAAAATTTGAGAAAATAATTGAATAAGAGTAAATATAAAGAATCTATAGAGAAGACAAGATTAAGACACCTTATTATCCTTCAAGCCTAAAAACTATGTCTTTAATAAAAATGAAATTATTAATAGAAAAAGAATACTTAGAATATAAAATATTATGAAGATTTAAACAAAAAAAGTGAAATATGAAATAAAGTGATTAAGGTTTTAAATCTAATTATAACTTTGCAAAGTGATCTGCAGTAGTAGCTCGCAGGCTATAAAGTTAACAGTTGAAAGGATTTTTATCTAAACTATTAATTAAATAATAAATTATTTTTGAAACTATATTTAAAGTTTTAAGAAATTTATAAAACAGAGATAAGTAAGTTAAGTAGAAATTTAAATATAATGTTTAATAAAACACAAATACCTAGCCTGACTAAAGGTTTATAAAAAAAAAGATATGTCATTATGGTAGAACTGTGAATTTAAAAATAAAATATGTGTAACTTAGAATTTTGACCCAAATTAAGCTTAATACTGATCTCTTCAATAAGAATATTGGCCCGAATTAATCTTAATTCTGGTCAAATTATTAACGCCAATACTGTAATTTGTAATTTTGGCCAAAATTGGCTTAATTTAGGTCGAAATTAGAATGGGAGGCATGCTTACTATGAAATTGATCATCGATTGGACAATCACAAGTATATATATATAACCATTCAAATATATGTTTATTCGATTTACTGGTCAAAATGAAGCAAAACTTAAAGCATTATGAAATTGAAGCGTATTTAAAATCCCTTCCGGAGATAAAGTCTCAGGGTAAAGCAGAATGGTACTGGGCCAATTTTGCCAACCAAAAGAATGCAAACCCTAGAACCTTCAATGAATGTGTTTTATTTTGGAAAAAAGTCCTAAGTGAAACTAGTAAACGGGGTTGGCTAGGAAAAGACATTATTTGTTTAGACACAAGTAACAATTTCGAAGATAATTTTAAAAATAATGGTTATAGTCCTATGGGCCTTCCCTGTGTCATTGTATTCTTAATTTCATTTTCTCTATTGAAATTGCTAGTTTATGCTATTCGCGTCTATTTCTAATTCAAAAACCGAATTAAAAAAATTTTAACACAGAATGAATTGTATTTAAATACGGAATTAATACCCGTGGAAGAATTTTTCTCCTCTCAAACTCGCACCTGGACAAGTTGGGTGGTTTCAAAATTATTATCTCCCATCTCCCTGGGAATACAAATGATTACTGGATCAAATAATTATAATTATCCGACCAAGTGGATAGTGGTAGAAGCACTAAAAGAAGCGTCAGACCGAGTTCTTCAGCACCAAGAAAAATATGCTATCCATGGAATTACCGATAATCTTTTTACTATGAAAACCTTCAAAGCGGAATTTTCATCTGTGGCGATTCCTAACTCTGAATTGTCCGACTTAGACTTAAAAGTATTAATAACGCATCTAGAATTTGAAAAAAAAGTGCTAGTAACAAGTTTATCTGAGTTTTCAAATGGAGAAAGTAACATGGTAATGATTCGAAGTATCGGGAATTTATTATTTTATGACTATAACCTAATTAGTACATTATTAGATCATTAAATTCCAAGCGAAAAATAAGAGCGATTGTAAGCTCGAAATTACATCGACGGATCGCGGTATTGTTTCTCTCAAGGAAACGTGCCAGAAAGTACATCAACAAGTTCAAGATCTTGAAGGGAGAATAAAAGAGTTCGTAGTTGAGCACAAATTTTCGAAGCATTCTTTGCCTATTAAATAAAGAGATTTTGATTTAAACTCGGTCATTTTTATTCTAAGGATTTCGACAAAACTTAATGACCATATTATTCGTAAGCAAAAAGTCATGGCCAAATATTGTTTGCGGCAGAAAAAGCATCTCGAACAAGTCGTGTCTAAGAGACTGGAATCGCTAGAAACAGTCGAAGGAATCCTATCAAAGATCCAAGGGGCTGCAAGTGATACGGAAGTAAGAAAGTTATTCCATATTCCAAGAATTCGAGACGATTTATTTATAAATAATAACTTTAAATTTATCTACAATCTAATAAGATAATTGAAGTATATAATGTTGGTGCAAATACTTTGAAGAATATTTTCGAGTCGTCCGGACTTACCGCAGATTCAGTAGAAGCAACGATGGATAAATTACAGGAGGTTTTTGCAGATCAACGAGAAATTGATGATGCCATGAAATTAGGAGATTCCTTACTTGACATGACAATTGGGCAAGAAGAAGAGTTAGATAAAGAGCTAGAAGAACTACTGATGGACGAAGATGTGATTAAGGAGTTTCAAGGGAAATTACATTTGGAGCCTTTGGCAACAAAAGAACCGGATGAAGTTTTATTTTCAACAGCAGAGCAAGAGAAATTACTTATACAAAGCGACGAAGAAGAACCTTATAGAGAAAGAACGGCAATTCCTTTATGATGAAAAGTAATCTATTACATAGTTTATAACATTTATTCAACATTTATTGTTTTTTCTATTCAAGTGGCAAACATATGGAATCTATGTTATGTACTTGTAAAAATTTTAATATAGGCTATATTAATTAACACCTGTTTAACTTTAAAATCGTTATGAAATCGTTATATTAAAGACAGTTAATTGTACGAATTAAAAAATACAATAGTTCATAAATAAAAAATATTTAAGTTTTTAAAAAATCAAAATAAAAGTATTTATTTTAATTAATAAATACTGTTGCTTTCAAAAGTTTAGTCCACATGTTAGGTCTTATTAGCGATTCAAGTTTGCCTATTTTTAGTCCTTAACTATATACCCAAAAATTATATATGTTGTATTCTTCTTTTTTTTTTTTTGGAATATTTTTATAAGCAGTTTTTAAAGTTTTACTATTGATAAAATATTCTTATTTTTTTTTTTTTTTAATTATTTTATTTTAATTTAATTTTGTTGTGATTAACAATAGATTATTATTTTAATGTATTATTATTTTTTTTTATAAACTGTTTTATAGAAATTGTCTAATGTTATATCTTGCTATTTTACTTCTATATTAATATTGTCAAACTTGAGATTCTTTTATTTATTATTAGAAAATTTAATACTTCTTTTGTTAGTTTGTATATTATATTATTTTCTATAGTATTAATATATACTTTGACTTTATTAATTCTGCTTATGTAAAAAATAATCAATTTATATTTTTACTTTTCTATTCTTTATTAATTGTTTAAATCTATATTATTTTTATTCTTTTCATATTTTTTTCATAATCTTTAGTAATCTATTAAATAGCCTATCTAAATAGAACTTTATTATTTATTGTACTTTTATATTTCTTTTAAATGTTTTTTCAAATAGTTTAGATAATCTTTATCTTAAATATATTTTTTAATATTTTTGATCTTCTACTATTTGATTACAATTTATACAGATTAGTTTTTTGATCTTTGATTAATTATTTTAATAAGTTAAATTTTATTTACTATTTTTTGTAAATATTTTTTATAGGATTTTCAGATATTTAATTTTTTTTGTTATTTTTTATTTATTTAATATTGTTATTTTATTAATACAATCTCTTTTTATATTTATAATATATATGTTATTTCTAAGTATATTTTTTATATATTCTATATATTAAGTCAGTATTATTTTTTGATTATCTAGTCTATTTATTTTTCTTCACAGTTGAAGTACAGTACTATATATAGGTTTTTTTTTCAATTCTTAAAACTTTTTTTCAATTAATTTTTTTCATTTTTATTAAGAATATATCAGAATTTCTATTTTTATTTTTACTGTACTTGAGCTTTAAATAATTAAATTTCTATAAAATATTATTATTATTTATTTTCTAAAAAAATTTTTTTTAATTTTTTTTATAGTAAAATATATAATAATTTATTATATTACCTTGAAATTTATTTTTTGCTTATATCTTAAAGTAGTTAAATAATTTTTTATTTTTTTAATCTAATAATTTTTTTTTTTATAATTTAATTCAAGTATATTAGTATATTATTATAAAAAAGTAATATAATTTTTTTGTATTTTTTTCTTGATATATATTTTGAATTAAATTGGTTTCTTTTTTCTATTCAAAAATCTCAGACCATTTTAATTTGAAAAATTATTTCCTAATTATTAGTAATTTTAAATATTTGTAATAAAAGATTACTTTATTTATATATATAATTTAATAATTTATAATTAAATATATTTTGAGATTTTCAATTAATTAATTATACTTATTTTAGTTTGATAATTATAATAAGACCTATTAAACTCTTATTATTTAATTTGTTGAAAAATTTATAATTTGAGATTTTATTTAAAATATTCATATACGGTATCTTTAAAATTAAGATTTTTTAAATAGTTTTTTTTTTTTTTTTTTTTAACCTGCAATCATGCCACAATGGCTTGTCTTTATTGAAAAATTAAAATAAATCTACAATATTTTATAGACTTTCACAAAGTGACTAACTCATCTTTATACAAAAGTACTTTAAGTTCGATTTTGGGAACAATATTACACTCCCCCAATAGATTGGTAATAACCTCTATCTACTAGGATCATTGCCAACAGTTTGTCACTATTAATTGTCCAAAAACCAATAAATTGCTAAGTTAAAAGAGAAAAAGGAAAAAATGATTGGAAAAGGGAACAATTCAAGGCTTACCAAAAAAATCCAAAAATAAAAACAACCTCTTCTCAAAAGAGATCTGCCTAATTGTGATAGTCTTTTTGCTTCTCTTGAATCTCAAAAAAAATCTTTTTTTTCACCACCTGTGGCATTAGACAAGTCAATCCAACTGATCTTTCACTTAAGTGGGCACTGGATTAGAATATTTCAAGGAAAGCATTTAGACCTCAGCTTTTTTCCATTAAAGCTTTATCACTACTTGAGGAACTTAGGTAAGAAATGTGAGTTTACAATTTACATTACCCATCACTTGGTCTTTTGGTGTCATGGAAGTCTTTATTAAGGGATTTGAGCTTTTTTGGGGGCAATCGTTTCTGGAACATTCTTTTCAATCACCAATAATATCATCAGAACCCGTAAATGTGACCAATAGGAGCTTGTTTACATTTCAAAAACTAATGTGTTTTGTATTAGCCAATCACTTTTGGTGAGGATTTGTGTTACCCAAAATTCAGAGTCAAACTGAGGTAGGCAAAATTCCTCAAAAAACCATGAAAGCAATAGTTCTAAGAGGCCCAACAGTGACTGGAAGGGGAAAAATAAGCCTTTCTGTTATTAAAAACCTCTATATATCTCTTGCTTCAAAGGTTAGATAGACCTTCAGGTACTTTACAGTCAGTTCTTCTTCCTTTGGGAACTTTCTTGCCATTGGTATTAAAGGTGTTTCTTGACTTTTCTTGATCACAGAAGTCAAGTTTTTGAGTGAAAAGGTTTGTAAACAAAAGAAAAAGAGTAGAGACGACTCTTGAAGTCATACTTCAAGTTGTTTTAAGGAAAGTATTAAGACTTTATTAGCAAAAAAGTATAAAAACTTCTTGTGAACATCTTTTTTGTGTGTGGTCAGAGAATCAGTAGAAAGAGTTTTTTTAATATTTTTTCTATTGTTAGTTGTTATTCCTATTATCTTTAAAAATATATATATATAAATATGTTTTTTTTTTTTTTTTAAACCCATAATCAGGCCAATATTATATATTTATTAATCATTAAGAAAACTGATAGAGATATATAGGGCAATTATATCATGGCTAAACTAAAATCTTGTACTGATATACTCGTCAATGGTTTTCAATTATCAAAAGAGCTTCAGCTTTTAAGTGCAACCTTGGGAACAATATTTCGCTCTAAACTAAGTTTTGGGTGAAGACTCTTCTAACTTATCCATTATTGCTAACAGGTTGTTACTGCTTATTATTCTCCAAGGAACTGAATTTAAGAAATTACAAAAGGGGAAAGAAAAAAATAAAAGGAAAGGGAATATCTAAAAATGTGTAAATGCACTACATGAAAATGAAAAAAGAAAAAAAAAATTTAAAATTGCTTTATGTCTTCCAAAGAACCTCGGCTAGAAATCTCTTCTCATTAGAAATCAACCCTTCTGAAATATAAATATCCTTCTTTTTCCTGACTATCTGAGGAACTTATCTATTCATGTTTTTGATTATTTTTTTGTGACCATCTGAGATACTTATCGCCTACTTGAATCCAGTATCTTGCTTAATGCTTTATTTCTTTTGGTCTTGATTTTATATCCACCTATGTAAAACAGAATGGCTAATGGTAAACTCCAGGTTCTTATATGGCTTTTTAGTTTTGTTGTGTAACTCCCGATATCTTTCAGCAGCCATGCCTAGTTAAAGGAATTTTACTGGTATATATCTTTTATTACCCAAAAAGTCAGATTTCCCAACAATCTTTTTGCCTTGCAATAGTAGGAGGGTCTCAGATAGTATGGGGACTCTCATTGATTACAATATCATTACACAACATCTGGAAAAATGCATTCTCAATCCTAGAAAAGGATAATGTTTTACATTTCTCTGCTTTTCGGTCTTACAGTCTGATCGGGATAAGGAAATAATCTTTTTCACATATTTTGCCTGACCAGAATGATAAGAAGTTGAAGGCCTCAGCTTGAACAAATAACCACCTTTTCATCACCTAGGGAATTTAGTGCCCATCCTAATGGCCTTATAATTTCTTTGCTTTAGTTAAACTTCATTTGGAGGAGTGAAGGAGTTCATATCCTTGATTTCTCTTTCTATCACCAATGACATCATTGGAACACATAAGGTGACCAATAGGAGCTAGTTTACATTCAGCTACTAATATGTTTCGCTCAAACCTTGGAAGGAAGCACTTTACCTTCTTTGTCACCACTTGTGGCATCGGATCAATCCCATTTGACTGATTTTCATTTAAGCGGAGCACTATATTGGAATATCCTGAGCTAGAAGGGTGGGGGTCCTGGAGACTGCCAGGGCAGGGGGTCTTGTGAAGCGTTTATGGTGGGTTAGACCAGAAGCCTTTCTTCATGCAATCCTTCTGGTAGTATGACCCTAGATCTCAGCCCCTGATCGATGGAAGGCCAGAAGTCCTATCTTCATGCAATCTAACCTGATTAAAGCTTGTTCTGGATGATTGGGTACGATTTTCATAGGATAATCGATAAACCTGATCAGAAGGGTAATTTTAATTTTTGGTCCTTAAGTGGTATTGAACTACAGATCTTGTGATTATGACCTAGGAGCACTACCATTGTACTATTGATCCACAGGTCTGTTTTTATTGATATTTATTTTAATTTTAATTTTAAAAAATTTATATATAGGCAATTAAGTATATTACAATGTCAAATCAAGAATTAAAACAATATATATTTACTGATAATGATTGGAATATATTTGAGCAAGTTGTAGAATTGCTCAAGCAGTTTAAAAAAACAATAGAAATAATTTTAATTTTAAGCTA